AGATAGATAGATAGATAGATAGATAGATAGATAGATAGATAGATAGATAGATAGATAGATAGATAGATAGATAGATAGATAGATAGATAGATAGATAGATAGATAGATAGATAGATAGATAGATAGAAATTCTCGGATACTACTTTTCTGCTAAGTACTTTTTTAAAATTTATTTCCGATTTTTTTATTTTTTTTTTCTCGTCGCGCCTTCATGCCGAAACGTTCTTTGTTTTGTTGCGTTCCATTTTCAAGTTTTCACATACTTTTTTCACATACATTTCCACAAAATGTATCAGATTTTTGTATATATCTTTGCGAGTAATTTATGTTTTTTTAATACCGTAACAAATATACCTACCTCCTTCATTATCCGACTTGCTGGTAACTAATTAAAGAAAAAGTTAATATAAAATTAATTACTTCCATTTTTAATTAAAAGCTTGGATTGCTACAACTGTATTGAATAATCTTAAAAACGTCTGACTTTTGTTACAATTAAGAGTTTAAATGTTGCTATGTCAACAATCTATAAAATTATTTGTCAAGTACATTGAAACATATGGGCACTTCAAAAAAATATTGTTTTAAAAAAAAAACACTAACTGCTGCCGCTAAGATAAAAGTCAAGCTGCCGAAGTCAAAATTTTAAAATGGAGTTGAGCTGGTATAATCCAATTTCCTCCAGACAACCTTATGCGACAAAGAGCTCCAAGCCATGCACATTAGCATGCGAAAATAAGATCATATGCCAATGACATCAAAATGCACCAAAGTGGTTGATGAGTGTTTGGATGTGTGTGTATATTTATATTGTATGTGTCTGTTTACAAAATGCAAGAAGTGGCTGGATGGATGTGAGTTTTAAAAAAAATCAATTCTGATACACACAAGGTTAACTAAGCCTGCTGAAGTTTTAAATTATTAAATTTGATGTTTAGATGAATCTAAAAATGGAGTTTCTGCTATTTTATTCTTGACATAATAAAATAATTTGATGCTGCTGTTTTGTAATTAGCTGGAGAAAAGTGGAGAAAAAAAAACACCCAAAACAAAAAAAAACAAAAAAACTCGGCCTATACAATAAATATTTACTTCAATTGGAAAATTAACTTTTTATTTATTATTTTTTTTATTTAAAAGTATTGTTTTTAAGAATTTTTGTGCACTTTTAGAAAATGTTTGACTCGAGCAAAAATATTAACGTCGTTGATAGATTAAATTTGGATATAATTTGAACATTTAAGTGAAAAAAACAATCTTAGAAGAGTAGCTCTCGTAAACATATGTAAAAGACCTTGACTTAAATAATTATCTTTAACTTGTTTACTAAAGCAACACTTTAGATTAGTAGTAAACAATACTTACATTTATAAAGTTCTTAAGACAACTTTTCTTTTGTTTCATGATATTAATATGAAAATAATTTAAATTGAACATTTAAGTTAAAGATGTAGGTTATTGTGGACCTATAAAATCCCAGTTAAGTTTTTCAGGAAGTATTAAAATATTGTCCTAATGAAAGTTAGTTATATTCTTACATACAAATGGTCTCCAGCTTATATAAGCACATTACATTTTTGCTTTCGTAGGATAGACCTGAAAGTACGTGTAAAAGTACTATCAAATTCACCCAAGCTTATTAACCTAACTATGGTGCGACATGAGAAGAATCAAGAAGTAATGATAACAAGTTCTTACTCTATTATATTACTCAATGGGACTTAAATTAACTCACCTGTGGTACAATCAAGTCCTTCAAATCCACTTCGACATCCATTTAAACAACGACCATTTTTAATGTCACAGAATCGAACTGAACTTGAATTTGTGTTACAGTTGGAACTACAACTGGATTTACAACTTTCACCATAGGTGGCGTTACTGCATTCTGTGAAGATACAATACAATTCACAATCACTAAAAGATCTAGATTTAAAACAACATTCTTGTTCATTCGTGATATAACATAGATTTGACAAAGAGATAACATATTTACAATTATAAGGAACATGTGAGACATGTTAATTGAAACACATTGGTGGACTATATATTTTACTTTTTTTCTTACACTATTTGTGTGGATTTAGTCTTTGCATCATATTACTAACCTTTATCACACTTATCACCTTGGAAGCCAGCCTTACAGCTTATACAAATACCAGAGTTGATATCACAGAATGAATCTTTACAGTTGGTAGCACAAGATGTCGTACAATTAGTGCCATATAAACCAGATTTGCAGTTTGTACAATTGCCAGAGTTGATGTCACAAATATAGTCTTTACAATTCTTGGAACACACGTTGGTACACATGTTTCCATAGTATCCAGATTTACAACTTACACAGTTACCATTTATAATGTCACAAACTGAATCCTTACAGTTGGATGAACAAGGTGTGGTACAATTGAAGCCATAGAAACCAGGCTGACAATCCAAACAATTTCCTTTAGTTTTGTCACAAATAGAACCAGTTTGAGAACACTTTGGTGAACAGTTTGACTGACATTCACTTCCATAGAAACCAGGATCACAATCTGAAATAGGGAAAAAACTGGCTCAGTGGGTTTAAAAAATGTTAACAATTAACTGTATTTTAAAAATATATACGAAACTTTTTACATACGAAACTTATGCTAGAAAAAATTATCTTATGAGAAGGATAATCATTTTTATTATTAAAAAAGAAATATTTGGTTCAAAATTTAATGACAGAATGTTTAAAAAATGTATATTATGTTTAATTAGGCAACCAACGTTTGATCTATTTAGTTTTAATTCATTTAAATGCAATTTTTATTTTTGCTTTAGAAATTCTAGTAAATTGATTATAGATAATTAATTTTATTTATAATGTATGTCATATTAAGACATTACATATATAAGACATTACATAATAAAGATGGTTACGAAAAAGATATTTTTCTGCAACTCAGAAAGGAGATTTCGATCTGCATGCTTATTTCATAATGAATAATAGTTTTCTTTTGAAATATTCCCTTTTATATGTAAACTTCTCCGCTCAGTACGTCTCTTTAATTATATTAAACAATTGTAACAATCGTTATTAAATATTTTCAATAAGTAAGATTTCTATTAATGAGACACGAACCAATATATATATATATATATATATATATATATATATAAATGAGCTTGGTTTACATAACGCCAAAAGGAAGATACATTTTAAGTACGTTCGGATTCCTAAAAACAATCATAGTTTTTTTTCCATTATTTTACGGAAATCGAATAAATTTAAATGTGCAAAAACATTTTTTAAATCCACTTTTATTTTAGTAAAAGTTTAAATATCATTATTAAAAATTACAAATACATTCAAAGTATCAACTAAGGAACTATTTTAAGCATTTTATATGTGTTTAAAAGTTATAAAAAAAAAAAAAACATTCTTAAAGAATTACACCGTAATTTATCGGGAAAACCCAACCATAAGTAGTTTTTAGTGCGTCTTTGAGTGCGTTGTTAATATTACGAAATAAAATTCAGATTAATTTGTTCTCAATAATCTCGCCAATGACGTCATAGCGTGAATAACCTATTTTGCCAACACTCTTAGGTTTCTTTAAATTTAATAACCGTCCTTGAACTTATTAAGTTCACTTTTAAAAGTGAAAATACATATTAACAATTGATTGCTTTATTAATTGTTAATAAAACATGCACACATTTTAGCTTTGAATATTTTAATATTTAAAAAGTTGTGCCTTTTTTATTCCAAAAATATACTTTTATTAAAATTATAATGTAATGAATTCTAACCTTTAAATATAATTCGAATAAGAAAATGCGGTTTAAGCCAAATCAGTGCTGCGCCCTTCCATAGCCAAATAGCATTCAATAATCCACTTATAACTCATACAAATAAGAACGAACTATATGAAGTGCAAAATATGTTAGTTTGGGTATGGAATGAACTACAATCCGGTGAAAGGTTTTCTAAATTTATTTAAATCTGGGTGGGGAGGGGTTGGTCACTTGCCCCAGACAGCACACGATACGTCTCAAAATAAAGGAATGAATTTGATAAATAATTAACCTTCTTGGGTACCTTCATATCGGAGGTAGGTAATGGGACGTGAATATTTTCACGTGTATGACAGTATAGTTAACTCCCATGTTATTACATTTGTGAAAAAAGGGATGCCACATTCTTTTTTTACCATTATTTATTAATATGTAAATGTTAATTTCGCTCAAGGCAGCACAAGATACGTCTAAAATAAAGGAGAGAATTTGATAAATAGAATAGTAGTTACTATCCTAGTGTCTCATTTGTATTTACTTAGTTTACATGTTTTAATAATTGTAAAGCGCTTAGAGCTTTATGATAAGCGCTATATAAAAATGCCTAAATAAATAAATAAATAAATAAATAATTAACCTTTATGGGTACCTTCATATCGGAGGTAGGTAATAGAATGTGTACATTTTCACGTGGATGACAAAATATTTAAATCCTATTGTATTACATTTGTGAAAAAGATATGTTGCATTCTCTTTTTACAATTATGTATAAGTTCAATTAGCCCAAGACAGCACAAGATACGTCTCAAAATAAAGGAATTAATTTGATAAATAATTAACCTTCTTGGGAAAATACAAGTCGGAGGTAGGAAATAAGATGTCTAATAATAAAGTTTTTTTCAAAAACACGCTTCATCCCTCAAAGGCTGGTAGCGCGGTACAAAGTCAACAAACAACAAATCTATAATTTATCACATTTAAAACAAACGCAACACTGCAAACACTAATTACAAGTCTACCAAGTCAAAGTCTTTCTAGCCATTTCAACCCTAAGCAACACAGCAAATATGCATTAACTGGAAAATATGGTAGACAATTAGTCTACATGTTTACGTGGATGACAATATAGTTAGCTCCCATGGGATTTAATTTATGAAAAAAGATGTTACATTCTATTTTTACAAAATGGGTAAGTTCATTTTAATCAAGGCGATACCAGAATAAGTAACCCAATGTTATCGTTATAATAATGGTAGGTCTTTGCGATATATTTCTAACTACTATAGTACACAATCATCACAATCCATAACTTTAAAAATATAATGATTTTTACGTTGCTATTATCATTAAATTTTGAGAAGTGTTTATCTGCTATATAGTATACGCCTACGCTACTCCCTTTCATGCTCCTAAACTTCTTTTTTCCCTTCTAATCATGACCTTAAATTACCCAGTCTAAATAATCACTAATTATATAACATTTGTCACTAAAGAAGTACATTGATGGACAATTAGTACGCTAGAGAAATACTTTAGATTTACAACTTTTCGTTCACTTGAAAAACAAGATACGTCTCAAAACAAAGGAATGAGATTAATAAATAATTAATGTTCTTGGGTACATACATGTCGGAGGTAGGAGATAAGATGTGTATAGTTTTAAGTGGATGACAACATCGTTAACTCCTACGGTATTCCTTTAAAAAAAAAGTGATGTTACATTCTCCAGTTTACAAATATGGGTAATTTAAATTTTGCCCATGGCAATGCAAGATACGCCTCAAAATAAGGGATTGAATTTGATCAATAATTAACCTCCTTGGGTACTTTCATATCGGTGATAGGAAAAAGGATGTATACGTTTTTACGTGGATGACAATATATTTAAATCCTATGGTATTACATTTGTGAAAAAATAGATTTTTAATTCTCTTTTTACAAATTTTGATATGTTTGCCAATTAAGAAAATCAATGGCGTTACATTTATATAAGCATACCCTTAAATATCAAAACCCAATCATTTTACACACTTGAAAAAGTAATTTTGGAAAATAGAGATGGGTTAATATTTACTTTCAAAAATGAAAATATAATTTTGTTTTTACTTTGCAAAAAGTAAATATGTGTGTATTTTTATGAGATGAACTATTTAATTTTTTTTTTAAAGATGCTAAAAGTCTGTTTAGGCGTGAAATATGGTTGCGAGATTCTTCTTTAGATAAAATAATTCTTTGTTTTACGAGTCTCTGATAATATATAATTGTTTTTTAAAAACATAAATATGTTTACATTTTTGATGAAGATATCAATATATATCGAATTCCTGTCATATAAATATACTTTTATCATATATTTAGTTTTTGATATAAATTTAAGATTAGTTTTTTAAAACAATTTTTAGAGAAAAAAAGTTAAATTCAAGGGCACAAAAAAGGGTAAATCTAAAGAATTTCTCTAAGATAGTAATTGTCTCTCAATTAACTCCTTAAGTGACAAAAGTGATATAAGTAGTGATAAGTTAGACTGAGTATTTTAAGGTCATTTTTAGAGGGGAACAAAAGTAGTCTAGGAGCGTGATAGATAGATAGATAGAGCGGGAGTAAGGTTGGCTTATATCATATAGCAGATAAATACTTCTCAAAACTTAATGATGTTAGAAATGTGAATAGCATTATATGTTTACAGTTATGAATTGTGATAAGTTTTTGCAAAGCACTTAGAAATTTTCGCAAATGACCTATCATTATTATCCCGATAATATCGGGTCCTTTATTCTAGAATATATGAATTAGCTATACTAACATAACGCTAAAAGACAAAAACTAATTTGATACGTTCGGATTCTTAAAAAAACAATAATAATTATTTTCTATTATTTTACGCAAATCGAATAAATGTACATGTGAAAAAAAAATTGTTTATCCCCTTTTATTCAGACAAAATTTTAAATATTATTATTATCAATTACAAATATATTTAAAGTAACAATTAAGGAACTATTTTATGCATTTTATCCGAATATAAAAGTTATGAAAAAAATTATTAATGAAAATTTTACGATCTAAGAATTGCATCTTAATAATATTTATCGGGAAAATCCAAACATCTGTTATTCTTAGTGCGTACTATATTACATTGTTAATGTTGCGAAATAAAAATAAAATTAATTATTAAATAATTACGCAAATGACGTAATAACGTGATTGCCTATTAAAGCCATGAATTTAATAGCAAAATTCTATTTTAGCCAAAGCTCGAAGTTTTTTTTTTTATATTTTATAAGCCAGTGACAAAACTGATAATGTATTTTCCCTTCTTAGAAGTAAAATTAATGCATATAATAAATTATTTTGCTAAAATTTAATAAAATTAAATACAACTTTAATTTGTATTTTCAACATTTAATAGTTTTTACTTTTATTTTTTCGAAAAATATAATTTTATGAGATTTATAAAATTAGTAAAAATTTACCCTTTAAATATACCTTTAATACGAAAGTGCCTTAAAATGAAATCAGTGCCACAAAACTACATTTCCAAATAGCATTCACTAATGCACTTATTACTGACCCAAAAAAGAAGAAAGCATGTGAAATGCAAAAAAAAATTTTTTCTTAAGTAAGGGGGTCAGAATATCGTGAATGATTTTTTTAATTTCCTTATTACTCAGCTGGGGTTGGGGGGGGGGTGAAGAAGTAATACTATAGTTTCATTTGCTCCAGGCAGCACACGATGCGCCTCACAATGAATATTTCAAATAATTAAC